TACCGCAAACACACACCAGAAATTTAAACAAATATCTAAGGCAAAGTCAATGACAACATCTCTGGTATAGCGATTGAACTTTGAATATTGGTAGATGTGATTCATGAACATGGAAAAATTTGTTTGCAGATGTGACCAAAAAATTAACAAATGTGGACAAGTCAATGAACAATAAAAGGCTCGCTAGCAGACATGAGCAATGAAAGGCTTCCTAGCAGATGTGAGCAATGAAAGGCTTGAACTATGTAGCAGATGAGTAAGGAAACGCCTGGTAGCAGTGTGGTGTGTCAGCAAGGCAAAGCTTGTCAGCAGATGACATCAAACTACACCTGTTAACAGTATGTGAGCAAAAAAAGGCTTGCTAGCAGACATGAGCAAAGAAAGGCTTGCTAGCAAACATGAGCAAAGAAAGCTTGCTAGCAGACATGAGCAAAGAAAGGCTTCCTTGCAGATGTGAGCAATGAAAGGCTTGTAGCAGAATAGATCCTCCATGATATGAGTAAGAAAATGACTGGTAACACAGTGATGTGAGCATGGGAAAGCTTGTCAGCAACTAATATCAAAGAACACCTGTTAACAGATGTGAGTATGAGCCCGTTTACGAACTTTCGAAAACCGGATAACTCAAGCCTCAGGTGATAATTAATCATTCCTCAACTAGCTATCATTACTAAAACATCTGGACTTTCCGGGCTTATACTTTCCGGATAAGTTTGGAGGGTTGGAGGCTGCCTCGGGCGCAATAGCCCACAGCATGGTGTCATCTGACCTTACTTTTATGAGAAATCTATTCAGATTAAGCCTTGAGTCCGCAATTTCTTTTCATCCATGCCTTCGTCCAGTGACATCGCTAGAGTAGTCCTCACTTTATAAATTATATTATCCAATGTTTAAGCCGAAATGTTAAGTTTATTTTTACAACGATATATCCCTATATACAATGGCTACAGCTGAACAGAGTGGGTGGACTGACGAAGCAACCCAAACGTTAATTAGCATATGGGGAACGACATCCATACAAGATGGTTTTGATGGAACCCGATGGAACAACGCCGTTTATAAAGAAATCGCACAGAAGATGCGGGAAATGGGTTATAACTTTACGCACGCACAGATAGAATACCAAATGCAAGAACCTGTGCAAAAAAATTCACCTAGGAAAAGGACCCCAACAGGAAGTCAGGAAACCCCCCACCCCCACACCCCAACAGAATGGCCGTATTTTGCGATGATGAACGAAATTTTTGGCGATAGACCCATTTCTTGTCCACCACACACTGTTGACACGTCGTTGGCGGCTCTGAACACCAGTGGAATTAATAGTACACGTAGTAGTAAGTCTGTAGGCTATTTTTTTTCCTTTGTTTTTTTTTTTTGGTAATTTTTTTTTTTTTTTTGGTAATTTTCCCAGTTGGCTAGGCTCTAGTTTCTAAGGCCTGGGTTTTTTAGAATTGGTTGGAGTACAAGCGTAGGCAAGGCGAGGTAATTCGTTGTTGAATTGCCTTGTTGGGCTGAGGAAGGCTAAGCGGTGAAGTGTTTGTTTTGTTTTAATACATGAAAGGCCTATACCTTACTGTCCGTATCCGAATAACTTGGGGTTCGTAAACGAGCGATCTAATGACCTACCCTCTGGGCATTATGTCATTTTTGACTTATCCGGTTTCGTTGAAAGTTCGTAAACACAACCATCAAGAAAGGCTTGCTAGCAGACATGAGCAGTGTAGCAGATGTAAGCAGTGAAAGGCAATTGTAGCAGTATATGAGTAAGGAAACATCTGGTAGCAGTCAGATGTGAGCTTGGGAAAGCTTGTCAGCAGATGACATCAATGTAAACATGTTAACAGTATGTAAGCAAGGAAAGGTTTGTTCTGGTAGGAGGTGTGAGCAAGGTAAAGGCTCATTATATCAAAATGTGATTAGGTTTTAAAAGCATGTGTTAAGTCATGTCTGCGAGCAAGAAAAGGTTTGCACAGTAAGCAGATGTGAGCATGGAAGGGCTTAACAGATGTTAGCAACAGAAAAATTGTTTACAGTATCAGATATAAGAAGGTGAAAAAGCTTGTAAGGTGAATATGACTTCGCAAAGTCCAATTACAAATTCAAATCATGCTTAGTATATAACACTTAAAATCCCTGACTGTACTGTACTAAAACCAACTGCTTCAAAATCAATAAATACTGACATTTACGTTATGACTCACATAAAGCATTTCATAACTAACTTATGATTAATTTAACATTTAAAGGTCAGATGCTCCCTTACTCCAACTTGTAGACCAATTTTTCACCAAAAATTTATTTATTATTGTGATAAGATCTTGAGATAAATCTACAACTTTCAATCAAACATATTTTCTAAAAAAAATCAACAAATGATTCAAACAAAATATACACATTTCATTTTTATTTGAGTGGGTAGAATTGATTGCTATTAAAATTTAAAATATGCAGTTAAACCTTGATACGAATTGTAGATTTTATGATCAATTTTATAAACTGTTCCATATAGTTAAAAACTGTCTTAAAATGCTAAACAGTTAAAAAAGAAACTATAAAAAAAGTTTTGGTACTGTATTACAATTACAATTTAATGTACCATTAATTAATTAGTTATTAGGTAGAGTAAGGAATGTAAAGTCAAATGGCTGAGTGAGACGGGGAACCACAACCTTGCCTATGGTTTTGGTGGTGACACAAGTCTTCTCGAATAGGACTATAAACCGTAGGCCCAGTATACATAATTGACTTTACACTTTAAAGAAGCCAGTACATCTTTCGTGATGAGTAGGGGGTTATCCGGGTGTACTGGTCCATATAGCCCCAGTATTGTGAACAAGCAAGAATAGCTGGTGCTGGTTTACCAAGTAGCGCAGACACAAAGTGACCCTTAGGAGAGAAGGAAGTTACAATACTGTACAAGTTGGTCCACACCTCGAGCGCTTTGAGACTTCGGTGTAAAGCACTATAAATCTAACTACATTAAAGTGTTCACACGCTATCATTCACGCAGTGAAATTCTCCATGTGACTGTCACCTTAATATTTCACTGTTTGACCGGAAGCTCATAAATATATTTTAATGAATTGGTTTAGTCTGTAAAGTGCAGTCTGCCATCATTCTCATCCCTACATTCAGACAACCACGCAAACATACAGCATTTGTAAGGTTTTTAATTTCCAATTGCGAAATCAAGGGTTCAAATCTTGGTTGTGTAGGAGCTGCGTGGCGCAGCATGCAAGGTGTTGGACTTCAGATCGTGAGATCGGCGGTTTGAGACCGACGTTCATCGCATTGTTTGTGTCCGTTGGCAAGGCACTTTACTTATATTTGCTTCTCACCACCCAGAAGTATAAGTGGGTACCTGGTAGGATGATGTGGCATTGCAAGTATTAGTCTGTATCGGCATTAAATTACACGTACGGGTAGGAATACTCCCCAAAAAGTGGAGGAGCTTGCACTTTGTGCTGGTTTGATCATGGGCCCGATGACCAGGGGTAATAATAACAACAGCGCCTCGTATCCCTTGGCAAAAGGTGCTGTATAACTTTCTATGATATTATTATTATTATTATTATTATTGTGTCACTTGTTATCTCTCTCCCCCAGGAGTTTTACACAAGTTCCAAGATACCCGGTATACTATGTATAGTACTTTTGAATGCTAATGCACCGATCATTATATTGTACGTTATGGAATACTCCCCCTAGAGTGCTAAGTAGTGTTGCGTAGGTGTTTGATCCAATGACTGGGATAATGATGTAAGTTGAAAGCCTTCGCATTAATTGCTGTACTATACCCTGACATGTATTATTATTATTATTATTATTATTATTATTTTTTATTATTATTTATAAATTAGGTCAAACCAAATAGAGGGCTATAGGAAGTATGACGATGCAGAGCAAGAAATACAAAACCATTTGTACAGTAATTACAAGCAAATTATAAATGAACTGCCAATCCAAAATTCAAGGCCAGAAAAAACAAAACAATTTACAAGGAGGTGAATTATTTCTAATGAAGTATACCATACATGAAAGGTTGTAATCAACATTCTCGCTAAAAAGCTAGGGGTCACTCTTTATGCATGACAGCTTCGTCAACTACTTAAGGCACTGAAAATAAACCAAGAAGAGTTAATTATAACAAACGAAAATGCACATTCCAGGTGGTACATCTGTGCATGATAGGTGCAGTATAGCGAGTAGATTACCAGGAGGCTAGAGGTTCTAGGAAATCTTAGCTATAGTAGTAACCTAAGGTGCTTGTAATAAATCAGTCTAAGTTAAGACACGAATGACGTAATAAAGCAAGCGTGCATTCCTGTTTACTATTGGAATTACTGATGGCGCTCTTTCGCATATTACAAAGTTATGACTACAAACCCAAAACAAGAAAAAAGAAATCTGTATGATGCTCTGAGATTATATTCAGTAAAATGAAAGAACTGGACTATAATGAACATAAAAACAATACTAATGTTTAGAATATAATGTTATAAATTAAAGAGAACATGGTAAATAAGAAGTGATTATAAACCTGATGATTTTGTATCGGTCTTCTCCATGGGAAGACTCAGTCAGAGCTCACAATATTCTATTTGCTTGATCTCAGGTGATATTTGCGTGGTTGTCATAATTAAGTCCAAAAGCCTTTGTTTTCCACAGTAGTAATTTACTCTCTACTCAATAATCGCATGACAATGATCTCAATGACTTGTTTACAGCTAAAACTCGCAATTAGGCAATAAACTAGATTGCTGGAGCTCTTGTGTTTTTTAAATAGACTAAGCACGCCTTTCATCATTATTACAAACCACCCATCACATCGTTGAACCACTAGTAGAACTCAACACAATAAACTTAAATGAAATAAAACCTTGAATTCCTAGCAGTATGTAAAACATGCTTTTATATAAATATCAATATTCTGTTGCATTATTCTTAAACTTAATAGCAAAGTGATTGTAAAATGCAAACAATTTTGAACAAGATCCCACCTTGTTTGAGCGTAATGTAACCTTTCCACCACAACGAGCACATGACTTGGTTTGGCAACTGTCTCTTATACACATCTGCATTGCAAGTATTAGTCTGTATCGGCATTAAATTACACGTACGGGTAGGAATACTCCCCAGAAAGTGGAGGAGCTTGCACTTTGTGCTGGTTTGATCATGGGCCCGATGACCAGGGGTAATAATAACAACAGCGCCTCGTATCCCTTGGCAAAAGGTGCTGTATAACTTTCTATGATATTATTATTATTATTATTATTATTATTATTATTGTGTCACTTGTTATCTCTCTCCCCCAGGAGTTTTACACAAGTTCCAAGATACCCAGTATACTATGTATAGTACTTTTGAATGCTAATGCACCGATCATTATATTGTACGTTATGGAATACTCCCCCTAGACCACTTTTCAAAAAATTGGTTGATTTGACACGGAATGACCCTCATATAAAGTTCAATCAACATAAACAAACATACACACAATATAGGTTTATGTCAACTGACTTGGATACAGGCATATGCAGTTCAAACCACAAATTGGCTTATTCCTTCTCAAGTGATACTGTACTGTACAACTACTTTCTTATCAAGGATATAGTTGAAAATAGACTGAAAATTAAATATCATTAATAATAATGATAATAATATTAAAAATTTAAGGCCTTCCACAAGAAAATCGAAATATGATAAAAGACTCAATCTGTGAATACAACTGTAATAGAGTACTTGAAATATTTAGTAATAATTTATAAAACATCGATTAGATCTGTTCAGCAAATGTAAAGGTAAATAAATACAACACTATCATGTTTACCATAATTAATCAGTGTAAATATTACATATCATGATCATCATGTATTATAATCCATCCTCATCAAATACTGTACTATGATCATTACCATCCTAATCATATATCATGATCACTACCCTCTGCAACAAATACCATAATCATTACATCATCATCCTTCTTACTCATTATATACCATAGAAATTATTCTCTCCATCATTTACCATGTCATTACCATCCTCATCACATACCACATCATCATTCAACACATTATATTCCATGATCATGCCCTATTCATCCTGCACCATTCATTATCATCCTTACCACATACCATCATCACAAACCTCCTTATCACATACATTACAATCATTACCATCATTTACATACCATGATTATTACCATCCTCATCAAATGCCATAAAAGTACTACCCCCTTTATTAATGGTAATGGTATATACCATAACCATTACTATCCTTATCACATACCATGATCATCATCGTCTTTACTTATACCATGACAATTATCCTCTCCATCATGAACCATATCATTCTTTATCACATACCATGATCGATCATCATCTTCATCACATTCTATAATTACCTTTCTCATCACAAACCGTAATCATTACCATCCTTATCACATATCATGATCATTACCATCTTCATCACTATGATAATTACCATTCTCATCACAAACTATAATCATTACCATCCTTATCACATACCATGATCATTACCATTGTCATCACATTCTATTTTCATCACACACCATGTTCATTACCATCCTCATCATACCGTATTCTATGATCACTCACATTTTCACCCAACCCATACATGTACCACGACCACCAACTACTGTGTATCATACTTCATCACAAACCACAACTATTACTTTCCTTCATCTTATTTCTTAGCCAAGGCTATGATATTCTATTCTTAGCTGCTATCAAGTATCGTAATCACCAGTGCAATTTCCACTATCCTCAATCATTAACATAATTATTACCCATAATCTAGCAAAATGTGATTACCTGCATTTTCAATACATTTCCAGGGGAAGTCATGGTTATATGGGCATGAATTCAAATTAAATATTGCATCGATATGTTATCGTTATCAAAATAGAAAAGTATTGGCAACACGGCAATATCGAGACTGCATCCCTGGTTGAGTCTAGTCTCTCATCTACCTCTAATCCACTAAGCAAATGATGAAATTGATAATACAGTAAACTTATCGACTAAAAATTGCAAATGTGGAATGATATTAATATGTTACGCTTGAACGAATCATGATAGATCAGATGATAACCATCAATCCTTACAAGTGTCTAAGAAACCAAGGCTAATAATATATTCATTCGTCACTGTTTTACACAATACACACCATTATATTAGTGGTTCTTTATACTGTAATTCTAAGAATCTTGTCTATGTTAATTATCTTCCAAAATTATCATCATGAAGACTAGTTGCTTTTACTGTAATAGCTTGGTAGTTATTTTAAGTGTCACTTTGAAATCACAGGGTTGGGAATCTCATTGTCACAAGTTTCAAGACTTGAGATGCAAGTCATGTAAACCAAGGTGCAACTAGCAGAATAGTTTGAGTGGGAGGGAGGGGGAGAGGAAGAGGTATATGGTGTGGGAGTTACAGTATTTGTAAATCTATAATGTAGAAAACTCTAAAGGTTTGTTATCTGTTGTACAATGTGAAAGACTTACAATAATAAAGACATAAACAAAGACATAAGCAAGTTGTGTTTATAATAAATTTCTATTTAATGTGATAAAACATTAAATAATTAAAATAAATTATTAACATCACAATTATCATTGTTTAATGCATATTGCATGTTTTATAGGACTCTTTAAAAACAGCACTCTCATCTGAATGTAGGCACAACTTCCACCAAAGCCTGGCGAAATACAGCATGACAATCATGCCTGGAGTGTTGTGACACAGCGCCATCTAGGCCTACATCTATTAGCCATAAATCTTATAACTTTAAAAATTCCTTCGGGCATTGCAGGCTTTTTTTTCAAGCATTAATTTAACCTTCGTATAATAATTTCCACTACTGTATGATAAGCAACTCTACTAATTACTTAGTCGTGCACTCTTTGCAAGAAAATGTAACATGTATATGATTGAACGATGGAGATATTTTGTAGATTGCATGCTAGAATCAACACTTTAGTAAACATGCGTATTTAGAATATGATCGACAAACCAATATTTTTAAAATAAGGAACATGGTTTAAGGTGAATTCACCCTTGCCACCAAAGTACAATACTGTAATTGACAGCAACCATTAAATACTTTATAGCTTTTAATGTGTGTTGTTAGCAATAACAATTGATGAGTTAATTCTATATTGTCAAAGAAGATAAGCACAATGTTTTCATAGCTAATAGTAGCACATAATTTACTCAAATTATAAAATGAAATTTTAAAAAATGCATTTACTAGCTCATATGCTTGAATTCTAAATTGGCAATGATTCATCAATCACTTCGCATGGTAACTGTTTATACAACAGATCCCTTTCCTTCACAAATTACCTTCATGAATTCTTTCTTCTTGTCATAACAGCTTATCAACAATTCCCATCTTCCTGTCAAAGCCTCCTCATATCATTCCCATTTCATTGTCACACCATCTATTCCATCATTGTCACAACATTCCTTTAATGATTTCCCTCTTGTCACAACATCCCTTCCATCATAACTCTCCTCTTATTACAACATCCATTCTATTATTCTGATTGTCACAATATTCCCTCCATTATTTTCCTCTCACTATTACTCATACATAACAACATTCCATCCTTCATTCTATCACCATTTTGTCTATCCATCCTTTAATTACTCCCCGCTCATTTTCACATCATTTATTTTACCCTTTTAACAATACTCCATCAACCAATCTCCTGTCTTACAGGGATACTCAGACTCAGAGTAATACTCTGAGTCTGAATATCCCTTTCTTCATTCCTGTCTTTTCATAACATTCCTTCTCCTTCCACTTTCCATTTCTTATTAAACACTAACCCTTCCTTCATCCCTTCTTGTAATAACATCCCTTCTATTATTTCCTTTTTTGTCACATATCCCTTTTACCAACCCTGTTCTCCTTGTCCTAGCACCCCTTCATTCAATCCACAAAAGCTTGAAACAGGGTCTTTTTAACCAAGTACTTTTAGTCTCCTTGGCAAACAAAAATTACATTTTACATAAAAATGGCAACCACAGATTTTCAATATTTTGTAATAAATCAGTTAAACTTAGGCAAAAAAATTGTTTATCTATTGTATACTATAATATTGCTAGTTTATTCACTATCATTATATACTGTATCAATTGTTTATTTCATTTACTTTTTATCAAATAATCATTATTACTATTATTAGGAGTCATGCTGTTAACCTGCATATCGTGACCTTGCTACGATATCTTCTGACGTCAACTAATAACACCAACAAGGAATCCACACAATCAACATCACCATTTTCATTGCCATAGAGATGTTATTAAAATTATTATTACGAGTTTCTAAAATTATGATTAAAAAAAATTTAAATTTTCTGTGTTTAATGCATTAAAATATGGCCAGGAAAATCTTACTTATCGAGTTGACAGCAATCTCAATGAAACTCTCACTCACAGCATCATTATCGTAACAAATCAGTGGTTTCCTCAAGCGCACACATTTTACATGCGGACAGTACAGTACCACACAGTTTAATTATTTTATTAATGCTTACTCCCACCCAATGCAAATCTTGAGAAATATATGGTATCATTATTACCGACTGTTCAAAATGGGAAACAAATGACTGGGCGAAGGAGACTAGGATTCTTTAGGAAGAGCCACGTTGAGTGGGTTGCTAGTTTTACATAGTCTATGGAGCAGATTCTGATATTAAACTGTGAGGTTGGTCCTTAAAGAGTGTTGTAAGTTATTTGCTGCTACAAACGAGAATACTCAGTCAGCTGTAAAACCCTAATATATAAATATAATATCACCGGTGCCTCAAATGTTCTAAGCGACTACACTTACACAACACGAGGCCCACAACTAATGGTTATGAATGTATAATACTAATATTTGTGCTTGTGGTTGATCGTCAGCGTACTCCTCTGGGACTAATCCGATCAGTGCAATGTTATAGCCAGCTGTCACTATTATCATTACTTACGTAGACAACCTGTTTAAATTCTAATGATCTGCCTGTAAATGCGTATACACTCCTT